GAGCTGCCGGTAGACGCCAAGCTGCGCGGGCCGCCACCACGGCCACGACCCACGGAGGTGCCGGGCCAACCCGGGGGAGACGAGCCCACGGCTGGGGCTGGGATAGCTGCGGGGACGACTGCGACTGCTGCGACGGCTGCTGCGGCTGCTCTTGCTGCTGGGGCGACGGCTGCTGCTCCTGACTAGCTGCGGCCGTCCCCTCAGTAGAACCACTGTCCCCGGCACCACCACCACTACCACCAGCTCCACCACCACGCCCTCCTTTGCAGCCACGACCGGTGCGGCGCGGGCGCTGCTGCGAGTGCACGGCAGCGGCAGTCTCGGTCAGAGGGGTCGCAGTGGCGACCGCAGCCGAAACGTCAGTAAACATGCACTGGGAGGGGGCACAGCCATGAAAGATAGAGACCGCCGGTGCACCGCTCGACTGAGCGATGGTGCGCTGGCGAGTCTCAATCTCGGTCAGGGCGGTGACAAAGGTTGTCAGGGTGAGGTCACCGGGGTGCTGGCTAAGGATGTGGTCGCGGGCACTAGCGAGGCGGTCAGGCAGGCGCATAGCGATAAAGTAGAGGGTCATGCAGAAGAGGGGAGTGAGCTGGGCAGCAGTGCTAGCAGTGCAGTAGCGAGACTCGAGGGCGCGCAGGTGTGGCAAGATCAGCAACAGTAGGGAAGGAAGCAAGGTCTGGGAAAAGCATAGGAAAGAGCAAGCGGCCTGCAATAGCAGAGGCAGGCGTGGAATAGCGAGCAACTACAGCATCTAGGTAAGCCTTGGCTGTATCAACTGTAGCAAAACGCGAACGCTCAGGCACAGGGAGGGCGTGACTAATAGCGACCTGAGCAACTGCATCGTGAGAGTCCCAGATTGCACATGCAAGTGCAGCAGCAGAGAAAACCTCACGCTCAGTAGAGGTGGAGTCAGCAGGGAGGGGAGCAGGTGCAGGGGGGCGGGGGAGCAAGCCATCAACATGGACAACCAAGGAGTGCCCATCCTGACGCCGACCTGTGAGGTGACGGAAGAGATCGGACAGCCAGGCGGCGAAGTCAACCGCGTGGCCCTCCGCGTCCAGGCGTAGGACGAAGTCAGCCATCGTGCAGAATCAGCGAGACAGGGACACAGCGGCACAGCTCCACAGGACAGCGACAAGATGCTCCAGCGCGGCAAGCAGACGACACAAGCCGAAGGAGCCGGGCGGGCACGGGGAGTTGCGGGCCGCAGGAGCCGGGCAGGCATGTCGGGGCCGGGCTGGCAGTAGGAGAGGCCAGGCGGGCTCTGTGGAAAGGGCCGAGCGGGCGCTAGGAGGGGCCGGGCGGGCACTAGGTGGGGCCGGGCGAGCGCTAGGTGGGGCCGAGCGGGCGCTAGGTGGGGCCGGGCGGGCGCTAGGTGGGGCCGAGCGGGCGGTAGGTGGGGCCGGGCGAGCGCTAGGTGGGGCGGGGCGAGCGCTAGGTGGGGCTGAGCGGGCGCTAGTTGGGGCCGGGCGAGTGTAGTAGGGGCCGAGCGGGCGCTAGGAGGGGCCGGACTAGCGCTAGAAGGAGCCGGGCAGGCGCTAGGAGGGGCCGGGCAGGCGCTAGGAGGGGCCGGGCGGGCGCTAGGAGGGGCCGGCGCGCGCAGCAGACCAGGGGCCCGGCGGGCGCAAGGGGGGGTCAGTAGGGCGCGATGGGGCCAGGTGGACACGGTGGGGCTAGGCGAGCGAGGCGGGGCCAGGCGGGCGCGTTGGGGCCAGGCGGGCGCGACAGGGCCATGCGGGCGTGGTGGGGCCAGGCGGGCGCGACAAGGGCCAGGAGGGCGCTACGGGGGCCTGGAGGGCGCGTCGGGGGCTAGGAGGGCGCGACAGGGCCTGGAGGGCGCGACGGGGGCCAGGAGGGCGCGACGGGGCCTGGAGGGCGCAACGGGGGCCAGGAGGGCGCGACGGGGCCTGGAGGGCGCGACGGGGGCCAGGAGGGTACTACGGGGCCAGGAGGGCGCGACGGGGGCCAGGAGGGCGCGACGGGGCTTGGAGGGCGCGACGGGGGCCGGGAGGGCACTACGGGGCCAGGAGGGCACGACGGGGGGGCCAGGAGGGCGCTACGAGGCCAGGCGGGCGCGACGGGGCCAGGAGGGCGCGACGGGGCCTGGAGGCCGCGACGGGGGCCAGGAGGGCACGACGGGGCCAGGAGGGCGCTAAGGGGCGGGCGCTAAGGGGCGGGCGGGCACTGCAGGCCAAGCGGGCGCTAAGGGCCGGGTCGGGCTAGGTAGGTAGGGGGAGGCGAGAGGCTAGGGCGCGGGCGGAAGCGGGTGGGTGGACCTAACCTACTCGATACCATGTTAGAATACGAGAATGTTTGACGGGTGTGAGAAACAGGGCCCTAGATATCAGCCTTTTTACCCTGATTCAGCCTTTTTTCAGACATTTTGTTGGTACCAAGGCTGAACACTCAGCTTTTTTTGTTTAGTGGGCCCTGAAAAATCAGCCTTTTTATTTGTGTGTTGCCTGAAATTTCAGCCTTTCTTTTAGGGTGTACGCTGAAGCATCAGCGTAAGTATGTGGGGCGGCGCTGAAACCGAGTACAGCGACATTTGCCCAACTCCCCCGCCCTGTCAGACACACCCACCCACACCCCCAAAAAAATCGGCGAAGTCCACCGCAGGTAGTCACACCGAACTCAGAACACCCGCATGCCAATTTTTTTTTGCGAAGTCCCCCCGCAACCAGTCACACCGTACCCCACTCCTAACACCCGCAAGACATATTTTTGGTGAAGTTCCCTGCAACCAGTCACAACTCACTCACACCCCTCTCATACCCCCGCAACCAAGGAAGATTTGCCAAGTCTCCACTCCACCCCACAGCCACATACGTACCTCCCTTCTCCCACTTCCCCACAACCAAAAGCACGTAGAGTACAGTACTGTATATGGAAAACTCCTCATGCAGACACGTGTCCCCTCCCAGCTGCGTTGCTGTTGTTTGAGAGCGTATTCTTCGCCAGTGGCAGGAAACTTGCCACAAACTTACAGACGCTCACGATCGTCTCCCATCTCTCAGGCTGGAATATCGACCGTAATCAACTCGCCAAAAAATGGTCAGCCACATCGGTGAGGAATGCGCCCTGACTCGGTGTGGTCCAGGCACCACGCTGACGCGGAATTACCTTAATAAACCCCGCGATTGAAAGGTAATCATAAAACATTCGCGCCTATTCAAGGTTTCTTTCAATTGCATCCGGATTCCAAAGCCCAACGCCGGCCATACTTTCACCCGTTTCCGTCGGTTTCAAATTCCTAGTATCGATGCTTACATCGAAAATGTTTCGTACTTAGACCGGAAAATTGTCACCGCGCCAGCCAATCATCGAAATGTCAAGTGCGCAGCCAGGACATAACCTCGTTACTGAAAGCCAGAGCTAATCTACAAAGCGCTGCTGAATTTGTGCATCAGACTTCTTCTAGGTAACGCTGATTGATCTGTCAAACATAAGCATAACTCATGTTTGTATAGACTGTATAGGGTCGCCTCAGCGTAAGTGCGAGGGGTCGGGATGTCGAAAGCGTCTGGGTCACCTTCAGGGACTAGCAGCATGGAACAGAGATGGGGAGCAGCCTCGGACAGGAAAGCAAGCTCGAACTGGCGGTCCTCCAGGACGTCACTGCCAAGGGCAGGAGCACCCCCGACAAACGGAGGACAGGCAGGGTCAGAGACCAGAGCGGTGGCGTAGTCAAGGCGGCGGGTAGAGGCGAAGTCAGCGACCGCAGCAACAAGAGCGTCAAGGCACGAGACTGGAACAGACGGGTCGGTAACGAGAGAGGCAAGGACCCGAGGAACAAGAGGACGAGCGGCACGAAGGTAGTCAGACAGCGGGGGGGGTGCAACAACAAGGGAGGACGGAGGAGGCGATGGGAGAAGGGGAGGACGAGACGCGTGGGAACGAAGCAACATAGGAACCTGGAGGCAGCCGACACCAACTAGGTTCCTAGAGAACGAGGGGATATGCAGACCTGTGAGAGTGCCCGAAGGAACCGCCGGACAGGGAAGGGTGGTGGAACTGCGGGCGACTACCGGACCGCCGGAGGGGTCAGCAAGAGAAACGGCAGCAGGAACAGGAAGCGGCGTCAGTGTGGTGAAGTGGGCAGACGATGCCGAGACACTCAGGTCTACCTAGGGCTACTGCTTCAGCCTTGGCTCAGGTGCCGTCTCGTGGAGAGCTACCCGCTCCTCGTCTGTTGCCCAGTCCAGCTGTGAGGCTGAGATCTACGCTGGTGCCATGGCGGCACAGGAGCTCCGCTGGCTGACCTTCTTGCTCACTGACTTAGGTGAGCGGCCTAGCTCTGCCCCGGTCCTGTACGCTGACAACAGGGCCATGATCCTCCTGTGTCAGGAGCCTCGACTCGAGGGCAGAGCGAAGCATATTCAGCTGCGATACTTCCTCCTGCGCGAGCTACAGCAGCGACGCCAGGCCCGCGTAGTACACTTGGCCTCAGGTGCCAACACAGCTCATATCTTTACGAAGGCGCTTGCGCCTAAAGATCATCAGCGGCACTGCGTACAGCTTGGTCTAGTTCCTGTAGCCTCTCACTTGCTAGGGCCTTGACTTTGTACTATCCTTTATATGCATACTCAGACTGGACTTGTGTCCTCTCTCAGTGGCTGGACTAGTAGTGCCGCCCTGGTCTTGTTCTTGCCTTGTCTGTACTCCTTCTGACTGGTCTTTTAGACCCTTGTCTCAGAGGTTGGACTAGTAGTGCCGCCCTGAGCTGCTTGTTCAGGTCATTCCCCTATGTAGTCTAGGGGGTGTGTCAAACATAAGCATAACTCATGTTTGTATAGACTGTATAGGGTCGCCTCTTAGAGGGTACAACACTCTTAGGTATATACCCTTGTACTCTCTCTCTATTCATCAATTCTTCAGTTCTAAGATGATCAGCGATTTTTTTTTTGCCAACACTGAAAGTTCAGCCTTTTTTCTAGGGGCAAGGCTGATGCATCAGCCTAAATTTGGGGAGTGAGGCTGACGAATCAGCGTACCCGAAAATGAATCTTAGGCCCTGGTGAGAAACCTAGAACATATACCTGCTGGGGTTGTACTCACTAGAAGCACACACCTAGACTGGCCTATAACTTCTACATGCAACATATGTATAAGTTGACATCCAACACCTACCCCACCCTTATAGTAAGGGTCGTAAGGGTATTTCACCTTGATATACTGAGGCCTGGGTACAACACACTAGTATACAAACTCACCCTGTACCTCCCATTCTAGTCAATTCGTTACTCTGAGACAGCTACCCACAATGTGCTACACCCTGCAGCACTTTCAGCAATTGGTTGGCAGCACATGGAAGAAGTGATACACTCGCTGATCCGCATCAAACACCCCAACTTCCGTCCCACACGTCTCGCACATCACTGGATGCACCACCTCCTCCTCCCCTCCCTCACTCCCCTCCCCACCCATCCCACCCTCCTCACCACCCCCCCACCAGTTCTCTGCTGCTCCTTTCCCCCTCCGTTCTTCCCCCCCCCGCCCTTCCTCTTCTTGCTGCCTCCGTCTTTGCCTGACGGCGTGCGCAGTTCCTGAGATGTGTTCACTTGGCAGTTGACTGCGAAGACTGCTCGGTACTGAGTGATGAAGCGCTCGTGCCTGTACGGACGCACGTGCAGCAGAGTAGAGCAGACAGGGTACAGGAAGGGAGAGGAGTGGGAAGGATCGAATTGAAGGAGGCCGGATGGGGGAGGAGGGGGGTGGGGAGGGGGGGGGGAGGGGGTGGGGGTAAGGGGGAAGGTGGGAAGGATGAGCTAAATGAACGCAGAGCACAGTACGCATGAATATGAGAATAAGACGCACCGCTGGCAGTCGAAGCAGACGGACGAGAGGCAGCCAGGGCAGCTAAGAATAGCGTCGGAGCTCCTTCCCCCGCGCTTCCGCCTCTCCCGCGCCATCCACCGCTCGTCCCGGTCGTCCACCTCCGCGTCGTACCACGGGGGAGGCGACGAGGGCGGGGACGGGGACGAGCGCGAGTCAGGGGAGGAAGGGGAAGGGGACGCATCTCCCAGCTCCTCAGCCCCCTCCCTGTTCTCTTCACCCTCCATCCTACCGCCCTCCATCCTACCGCCTTCGACCCCATCACTGCTCCCAGAGCGCACGTGTGTCTCAGCGGCGGCCTCCACAACCCCACTGCCGCCGCGCCCCGCTCCTTTTGGCTCCCCCGCATCTTCCGCCATCCGCGCATGCGCGGAATCGGTTGCATCCATCGACGGGTTGATTGCGCGCAATTACCGATCGGCTTCCGACGATCGATAGAAGAGGAGCGATCTACGATAATGGTGGGGTCAGCAACCGAGTGGTTTCACAACCACAGCGAGTTTTGAGGTGCCTCAAATCACACAAACGAGGAGCACTCAGGCAAGGAATCTAACTTTGCTGGAGAGTTACACGTAATGAAGCACGGTGCACGCGTAAAAGCACGCTGCACTGACCGTGACTGATAAATAAAACGGCACGAGCCGGGGTTCCGTGTCAGACGCGCGACTTTCAAGGGACTGCTGGCATCGGCTGTAGATGCCATACCACAAACTTCGACTTTTTCTTGAAGTAGGATACCCGCTGTTATCTTCTTCGTTACAAAAACCACGAAGATGCACACTGCTCTCTGTAGCGCTCGCTAACCTGATCAACGCCAATCTGACCAAAGCAGCATCCCCCCCCAAACCAGCACCGCCACCCCCGTTTCCCCGCCACCCCCGTTTCCCCGCCACCCCTCTGTTCAGCGTCGCCCCACATCCACCTCCCTCCCTTCCCACCCCACTTCCCCGAATTCCCCCTCCGCTTCCCCCACCCTCCCCTCTCCCCCCGCCAGCCCTTGTAAAGTTCTCTCCCCTCCCCTCGCGATTCCCCCCACAATTTCGCGCTCATGCCCACAAATGCCTCGGATTTCCTTCCCACATGCTCAAACCCGTTGATCTCCCATCCAGATCAAATCAACGTTCCTGCCTCGCGCTGTTCCTCCTCACACTGGGGCTTCCCAGCTGAGCGCTGAGCGGTGGGACGCGGATCCTCCGCCGTATCCACTTCGTGCCTTGCATTTCCGAGTCTCCGGAAACGGAACCGGAGACGGAAACGGAAATAACGGTGACGTAGTTCACCGATCGCGAACGTATTCACGCGCTGAACAACAGCAGCATCAGCAGCAGCAGCAGAAGCAGCAGCAGCACAAGCAGAAGGAAGAGGAGCAGAAGGCGGTATGGGGGTGGTGGAAGAGGAGCGGTCAGATGACTCCCACGCGCGAGACGACGGCAATGGAGGGGAATCGACGGAATCAACGCTGCGAGGAGAGCGAGGAGAAGAAACGGGTAAAGGGGAAGCGCAAGGAGCAATAGACGCGGGAGCAGACGAGGCGGGCGGGAGCGCAGAGGAACGAGCGGAGAAAGCCGCGGAGAGTGAGGGACGACCCGCGGACGAGCAATCCGCGGAAGTCGCGGGTGATTCGCAAGCGAGTGAGGGGAAGGGGAATGAGGGGAAGGGGGATGAGGGGGGCAGTGGCGCGGAGGGATCTGATGGCGGAAACCAGGTGGAGAACGGGGGAGAGGGGGAAGGGCTGGAGGGCCGCGGGGAAGACGCGGAAGAGGCTGCTGCGCCTGCTGCCGACGTCACGGGTGGTGATGATGCTGCGGGGGAGGCGGAGGAGGTGGTGGTGGTGGGAGTGGTTGTGGGGGAAGCGGAGGGTGCGGATGAGGAGGCGGATCGGGAAGGGGAGGGGGGTGAGGGGGAGGAGAGGCGGGAGGAGCAGGCGGAAGAGCGGGATGAAGAGGCGGAGGAGGAGGACGAGGAAGGAGAGGAGGGCGAGGGGGAGGATGAGGACGAGGATGAGGATGAGGATGAAGGGGAGGGGGAGGGGGAGGGGGAGGAGGGGGAGGAAGGATCGGAAGGAGCGGGCGCGCGGGGCCGCCGGGTCCCTCCGCGCATGAGCCGCGAGGCGCGGAGCATCTACGAGCGGATCCGCGCGCGCCAGTGCCGCGTTGCGCGCGTGGTGATGGCGGGGAACAAGCGCACGAAAGCCGCCATTATCTCCCGCATCATGGCGGGCGCGCTGGCGCAATCGGCGGAAGCGGGAGCGGAATCGGGCGGAAGCTTCGAGGAGCTGCAGGCGGCGCTGCTGCGCGCCAACAGGGCGCTGCGAGCGCTGGGGGTGTTCGAGGATGTGACTACAGTGGTGGACGCGCTGCCCGGGGACCCGCCTGGCACTGCAACGGTGGTGATTAACGTGAAGGAAGATAGCGTGCTTGCAGCTAATGTCGGCACGTACCTTCAGGTGACCGCGCTAGGTCCGGCGGAGGGAGGGAGGAGAGGGGAAGGGTGGAGTGAGTGGCGAGGGGGAGAGGGTGGGGGAAGGGGGGGGGGAGAGGGGGGGACGGGGAACAGTTGGGGGCAGCGTGGGCGGGGGACAGGAGAGGGGAAGAGGGAGAAGGGGAATGGAAGTATAGGATGATGGACTGTGTATG